CTCAAAAGGTGAAGTCATATAAGGAAATCTGTTTGAAACTCACAGATCAACTCCTATGTAGCCATTTTTGAAATATTTGGGGAAGAAATGGAACAGTAAAACTTGTAGAATAGCAACACCTCTGAGACATTGAAGGTCTAGTCTCTTGGTCATTTCAGAAGATTGTATGTTGCTTTTCAATTTTTCATCGAAACTAAAGAATGGGCAGAGAAGAAGTTTGAACGAATTGACTGAGCGCTGAGCAACGTCAACGTCTGCATGCTGAGATGTATCTTAGTCTTGAACAAGGATGAACAAGTTTTCGTAGATTCACAGATATTTCAAACATAAACAATCAGATTTACTAGTTGGAGAGAGATCAAAAAATTGAACTCGCATTTCTTTAGAAGCAACCGTAATCGTTATCTGATATATTCATTTGCCTGTGTGATTTTTGAAACGAAAAAAGGAGGAAAGTGAGGAAAATAAGGTATAAATGATTCATGCCTAATGTAAACATTTCACAGAATAGAGACGATAAGGATATGCTCTTTCATGAAGAGTATGATTAGCTAGGCATCGAATGTTAGTAAGGCCATTTCATTATCTATCCAATAGAATCATAGCAAATATGTGTACTCAACCACAATGAATGACTTCGAAAAACACATTCGTTCTAACAAATGTATTGAAAATTTCCCCTAAAGAGAAACCGAAGTTTTTTTCATCTTCTGTTGAACCCAGGGTAAATCAGAAAGAAATGAGGCGAAGAGCACCTCTACTTCTTGAAGCCGAAAACCGTGAACGGAACTTCATGAGGCACATTCGTGAACGTTTCCAAAACTTGGCTTTCATACAAACAAATCTTTATCTTCTGTTTCTGCTCAGCTAGTTTTATGAGGTACTACGGTATATATTTTTTACTTAATTTTCTCGTCACTTCTTAAATATGATGATAACAATGATTTGTGAATTGTGCCTGACGTTCCTTAGCGTCTTGTAAGCGATTGATAGAGAGGGAAAGATTGAAAAAGAAAAATCGTTATCAACATCTAGCTTGTGACCAGATTCTCAACTCTACGGAAACGAAGAATGTTTTTCAAAATTTAAATTCTTCAAGTGAAAAACCAGTTAAATATCCAGTAATATTCATCATTTTCTGAAATTAATTGATAAACAGATAACTGAACGTGTTCTGGAAGCCTTTGCCTGCAGAATTTTACAACAAAAAGAGAGAAGAAGAGAGATAGAATGGTTATGCCATCTTCTCAGCCATATTCTGATTATTTCAGAACCATAATTCCATCGAGTAAATATTTGTTTTGAGTTTTTGAAAAGATGAAGAGAACTTTGTTTTATTTGTTGAAGAAGTAACTCGCAAAATTTTCATTTTTTGATTTTACAACTAGCCGAAGCTGTTAGACATACCAGTTTTCTCTCTCATAACCTCTTTAAACAGTAGTTTCATTTGGGAAATTCAATTTTTCAAAATCAAAATATGTCCTTGCAAATGATTTTGTTCTTTCTGTGTCTGTTCCCGAACTTGTTCGAAAAACGTCGAACCTGTTCAAAGTGTTTGCCAAGAAAAGTCCTTATATGGACGCTTTCATACGACATTCACGTCGTTCCTGCATACAACGTTGCCTCAGGGGTTTCATTCAATTATTTGAACCTTTTTCATTACAGATGTATTGCTTGATTACATTGCTGTTCATTCTTTCTGTGTGTCCAGGTATAATCATAAGACAGCGAACGTTGATATGAAGTTCATTTCTTAATAGCTGCCACCTCATTGAATTGTCATCAACCAAGAGATCAAGGATACGAGTGCGCAGAGAATGCTAAAAGCATACGCTTCTATTATGATACTAGAAGAGGTTTGTGAAACAGTCTGTTAATCTTCAACTCTTGGCTAGGTGTTTGTCAACCAATGGCATACAAAGGCTGTGGAGGTAATGAGAACAAATTTGAATCAGCTGTTCAATGTCGAGATGACTGTCAGATGAAACCCAGAGAAAGAGCCAATAGCTCCCAGATTCGAGATGACACTCTAATCGGTTCGTACGGGATAAAAATTTTGAGTAAAGTGTGATTCGTTTCATTTAAGTGAATGCTTGTGAGCTCGACACCGATGCCAAAATCTCAGAGAAAGTTAAAAGCTGTGGCAGCGGTTGCCCAGACGGGTACGAATGTAACGAAAACAAACATTGCTGTCCCACAAGATGTTGGTCTTCAAACGTTTATTAGCTATATGAGTCCTATTTTAGCTTTCATTTGTCGTTTACCAGTAACTTCTGGACATGAAGCTGTAAGCTTGAAACATTATGGACGTTTTGCTTACATGCCAGGGTTGGAGAACTGTTTGCGGTTCAGCTACTTTGGCGCTGAGGGTAATTACAATAACTTCAAAACATATAACGACTGCAAGAAATTCTGCATGGATGGCATGTAAACACTTAGCAACAGACAGGCTTTAACTATCTCCGCACACTTCTCATAATGTATAAACTATTGATATTGTACTTTGTACAAGATAAATATTGTAAATATCTGTATCTATTCATTTCAATACTTTACCGGGATTCATGATGTTGTTAGGGTCGAGAGATTGCTTGATCATTCTCATGACATTCAAACATTCTTTTCCAACTTCGTCTTCTAAATAAGACAACTTTCCCATTCCAACACCATGTTCTCCAGTACACGTTCCATTATGAGTCAAGGCTCTTCTGTCAAATACTATTTGAAACAGTTATCGAAAACACTTACATACTTTACCAATCTATCCGAAAACTGTTTAACTTTAGGAAGTTCTTTCTCCATATCGACTACAGGAAGGATAACATGGAAGTTACCGTCTCCTACATGACCAACAATTGTTCCTTAAAGTTACATGAGAATATTGTGAACATGCAGAGGTATTCGAAACTCCTCAGACAGAACTCCCGTCTCTACTAGCGTCAACTCTTCCGTGCAAGTCAAACGTTCCCTTTGGAACCACTGTTTCATTGTTTATCTCTAATTGAATGAAGCGGTCGGTTTGAAACGCACCACAACATCAATCTATTATTTCTTTCGAATGTCCAGAACTGTTGCTTTCATAATTCAAAAAGATGCGAAAACATGAGTTCTTACTCGTTTCTCTCATTCAACTCTCACATTAACTTACCAACAAGATTGGAATCAATCAGGTCTTTCTTCGTCAAGGTAATAACATCAGCCAATTTGGAGATTGGTACACACACATCAGTTGTAAAGCCCTGTGAAAGAAATTTAATTGTGAAGGTGGTAATAGGAAGAAAAGAGGTTTACCCTTGAACCTTCACGAAGAGACAAAGCTGCATAATATGCATTATGCCTTGCCTTCCACAACTTATCTATATCACTATTGTTCTCAGACTCAACAAACGACAGTGCGTTGTAACTTGAGCAAATACTTTCTGTGTTCTCAACTGTTTTAATTAATTATTTTGTTCCAAACTTGTATACTCTAACTGAGACTGGACACTAGCATCAGTAAAACCGTGAAACTCCAAAAATAGTGTTGGTGCCACTGGCATAGTTAAGGAACTGTATTTATTACAAGCAGCCACTTGAATATCGTCAAGAAATTCTGCGAAAAGCGAGAAAGTATTATGTAAAGAAACACAAATACCTATTCTCGCAACAGGAATACCACTTTGAATTACTTCCATTGTAGCTTGAACAGCACTATGAGTTGTATCAAATGCAGTAACTGCTACAGTTCGACAAGAGGGCAGTGAATGTAAACTAGAACATAATCATGACAATCGAATTCTTCAGATAAAAAAACGTACCGAATGGTTGCTTCGATTATGACTCCTAGAGTGCCTTCAGATCCAACAAACAGTTCTGTAAGGTTATAGCCAGCAGACGTTTTTCTGAAACAATCTTATTACAGTTTGTTCCTTCTAAGACTTACGGTGGGCAATTATTTTTTCCTCTCGTATTGATCACTGAGCCATCAGCTAGGACTATCTCTAGATTCACAACATTTTCTTTCATTGTTCCTGGAAGAGAAGGTGATACAAACAGAATAATAATTACACAAGTATATTTATGATCGAACCGTATCTGATAGCATTGGTACCACTTGCTCCTGTTGCCACCATACCACATACAGAAGCATCAGCTCCTGGATCTATACAAGACTCAACTTTCTTTTCTCATTCTTGGCAGCACCAACTGAGAAGAACAACCCATGTTGTCGTACCATGGAGTTTAATCCAGTTCGAGTAACAGATGGTCTAACAGACGCTATCCCATCTTCAGGCGATACTTTGGTTATCCCTCCACCAAGATTAGAAAGAACAATACTGACACCCTTCTAAATTCAATTTGTTTTTCAAAATATATGAGGATCATTACTTTCACATGTACGACACCTCCTTCAAGGCCTGTACCCGTCCCGAAAGGTATTACTGGGATTTTGAAGGAATTACATATCTTCATGATATCAGAGACTTGCTCAACGGATTCAGGCAAGAGCACTACTTCGGGCATTTTACCTCTGAAACTGATGATAAAAAGAAAAAACAACTAAAACAGCGAAAACCTGAAGTGACCTTCATCTTTCATAAACTGTTGTTTTTGTGAGCTTTTGGTTACAACATTTCTAGCTCCAATCAGAGATTCGAACTGCGAGGCCCATCGATCACAAGCAAGAGTTTCCACCTGATAGACGGGCAGAGTGATCAGAATCATAGCAAACACTTACGAAAGTAGAGAAGCGGTTCCTTGCCATTATTCTCATTATCCTGCCAATGCCTTACTTTGTATAATTCGTTCTCAGAAAACAAATAACAGAGCGATATGCAAAGCTCTCGATAAAGTACTTGAAAAGAATGGAGAAAACATTCATCGAAAAACAACAAAACAAAATAATAATATGTACACATTTAAGAAGGGACGATGACGTCTGTGGAAATGAAAAGACTTTGCTTGTTCGTAGAAAGCTTGCTTCTTGCGACATTATAATCCATGACGAATGGGATACAGAAGTCGTAGAGGCTTCTGTGATTATCGAGCAAAACAACCACACGGTTAGATCCGATTTGTAAACGCAGCCTAAAGAAATGAACTTGTCAAGATTATGAGTAGTAAAGACATACCTTGCAGGATTGTCGACTGGTGGTTCGATGTTGCTGAGAGATAACTTAATTTCAATTTTACAGTTTTTCAATATCTTAACCGTAATTCCATCCCAACGTGGATCTTCGTAAGGCTCAAAAATTACTGATCAACCGAGTTAAATCCAATATAGCTTTACTTCTTCGATGTTGTTCTCGTTAATAGTCGCTATGAAATTATTGTCTGGCTTTTTCAGAAGCTTCATAACATCGAGCTCGCCCATTTTTTTCCTGTTCGTAAGAATAATAGCATCGTTAGCATCAAGTTTGATTGAATGCTGAAAATAAGAGTCTAGACTTCTATCAGCGTATGAACGTTACTCACTTTTTGCTCAATAGCATCACAAAGAACTAAAGTGATGAAATGTCTGAAAAAGTCCGACTTCGGTATATCTAACCTTTTCTCGAAAAAAATCGTATTGATGAGCACATCAATCTAAAACAATCGCTTAGAGTATAGAACTGAGTAACAAAGATCTCACTTTCATACAACTTTCATTCTTATTATCTGTTACATGTCCAATTTCTCCAATGCTAATTGGAACACGGTACGAAAAATCCCCCTGATCTATTCTCTGCGCCAAAGTATCCTGAAGCTTTCTTTACTCAAGAACTCATTGAATCTCTTCACTTGATCCAAATCTTCAATAGGAGAAGGGACTTCAACTGAGTGACAAAGATTAACGAAACATTTTCTCATTTGAGGGCCATCTAATTCGATAACTTGTGCCTGAAATAGTAGCTCTACCGGAAGTTAGGAGAACTAACAAACTTCTTTAAACTTTATGACATAGCCTGCACGAGGATGGATCAACCAGCAATCTCCTTCCGTAATATCTTGTATTAATGAAGTCATTCGATCTGCTTTTGTTGATTATTATGAGGTTTGGGAAGAATAGAACAGAATGCGACCGTTCCTCTGCTAAACTCTAAAAAAACGAAATATCCAACACCAAACTGCATATTCGAGCTCGGTGCATATATATGCAACGATCATATAGTCAATCGAGAAAACGAAATCGAGTCATCAGAACATCGAACTATCTTACATTTTATTTAAAACTTTCCCCAATATTATAAATATTTTACACACAGTCTTTCTCAACAAAGGTCCCGGAAAAAGTTTAATATGCTAACATCAATAAATTAATCTTCTTTCAAGTTAGAAAATTGCTAGTAAGGCAAACACAGAGTAGAGTAAAACACATGGATAAGCTACAAGTAGTCGTTGTTGATGCATCGTCAATGCTATCACGAATAACTTAGAACTCGATGAACTACACCATAAAACAGCTAAAGCAGATACAGAATACCCAATGATACCCTTCAAACAGCATGAACGAATTAACTTTTGGAGAAAATTGAACTTACTTTGAATGATAACACGGCAGTGAGCATACTAAGAATGGCCATAGGTAGCAAGCAATATCCAAGCACTGAAGCTGTACAAGTGAATGAAATGGTTTTGTCAGCTGAAAGAAAAATGAGAATAGAATCAAACTCTAGTTCGATCAGATTTTACCGGCCATCAAGTTCATGAGAGCATACATTCCTACGCATCCTAAACCTCCTATTCCATAAATATACCCAAAAGACATCTTTCCATGCAATAATAAAGCAGCACCTGTAAATGGAATAAATAGCCAAGTAACTTAAGAACAGAATACCAAAAAGAAGGCAGAAAACCAGAGGTCCAGCTAGATCCTGGTCGGCTATTACTTCGGCAGATGCTGTACTAGCAGGGTTCAGAACTGCTATGGTTTTTTCCTGTTACAAGAGCATGAAACATGACTATAAAACAAACAAACCTTAATGTGAGAAAAATTAATGCCCAGCTCTTCCAACAATGGAGGTTCGTTATCATAGTCTTCTGTATCTCCAGAAGTGGGAGCTTCAAAGAAAATGTATAACAAGAAATTTTAAAACGGCAAACCTGGACCCGTGGGCATAAACATTTTCCCACCATAACCTCCAGCATCGTTATTATACGATTGCTGAGCTCCATAGTAGTTAGTTTGTGCTGAAAACTTTAATATAATACAAGTATTCTAATAGAAACATTAGCCAACAGGAAAACATTCTAACCTGGAGCAGCAGGTTGTTGAGCTTGGGAATAATCAAATTGTTGCCAACTCATGTCAGGTTGAGCATTACTCTGTTGGTCATACCAAGAGTTTTGTTGTTGTCCATTATCCATCCAATAGTTATTGGACATTATTCTTTAATAATTAAATAAAATAATATAGAATAACTTAATTGAAAGCTGAGTAGAAGCTCTGGAGACTTACTTCCACGACTATTAAAAAAGGACGCAAATAGTCGTGATTCATTGCGTACGCCAGCCAACATTCTTAAATCACAAAGAAGGTCAGTAGATAAAGAGAAGACAAAAGTGAAAGAAGAAAGAAACAGTTGTCTATCAGATGTGTTCCCAGCGACAAAACAAAAAAAAAGTTCGCTCAGTATAAAAACGAATAAACTTATGAAAAATGAGGAGTTCGATGGAATTATACCTCAGGGAAAAGTTGAAGGCTAACTTGGCAAAAGATCAAAATTTTAAGAGTCCTGTCAAGATTTTAGAGTAACGGAAGTCGCTGATTCGAAAATTACCTTAAAGAGCTTGAACCCGTTGTTAACGATATGATTTCGATACTTATAGAATGACGTTAATTAGGTTAATTATAATATTTATTTCAGAAATGGATAATTCTTGCCATCGACGAGAGCGCACCATATACGTCTCTATGTTACCTGAGAATGTTACAGACGACGATTTATACCGTCTGTTCCTTGAAGTAAGTTTGTTTATCTAAATTCCAAATTGATTTGTTTCTCTCAGGCTGGGCCCATTGAGAAAGTGATTTTCAAACAGAATCTAGATGGAACTCCACAGCACGCTTTGATTGTGTTCCGAAGAGTCGAATCTGTAAAATATGCTTCTCTGAACTTGATCAAATGTATTTCGGAGGAACAACCTCTTCATATCAGACCTCTCAAGTATGTTGTCAAATTTATGAACTTTGTCTTATTATTTGTTTCAGAGAATCTTCACATCATCTTTTACCTTTCGACAACTTCCGAAAGCCTAGTCGGGATTCTTTCAGTTCTTTCCCAGAGTCTCCACCGATAGATGACGATTTCAGAGGATACCGACTATGGCACCAGCAATCACAAAGTGAACTGAAACCCATAAATCACTGGAATAACAAGTGAGTAGTTAACGTTAAGATTCTTAGTTATTCTGTGCTTTTGTAGCTCTCACAATGTTAACCCTGATAACGCCAAACATCGCCCTAGACCTTTTAATTTATCACAATCTCATCAATCTAATAAAGATTTTTGGAAGAACGAGAGAAATGGTATTAGAGCACTTGTTACTAATCTATGTAATAACTATCTTTCAGGTTCTTATAGAGCTCCTCCGTTCTCAGCTGGCTTGATAGGCCTTGGTTCTGCTCGTTCGGCATTCCCATTGTTTTACGATGATTCTTTGCAAGGGACAACCTTTAACAAAAAGCATATGAATGGAGACAAGTTATCAGAGAGATTGAACGAGCACTGCGTACTGATGAGTTCCTTTTCAACTGTTACTTAATTTTTTTTTCCAGAGGACAGACAGCCCAGTGTTATCACCCTCTTTCTCATTCTCGGACGTGGACAGATTTTACTCTTTTGCTGAGGTAAGTCCCATTTTGAGATATGATTTTACTTTTGACTTCTAGCAACTTCACGCGAAACGAGAATCAACCAACACTAAAGCCTACACAAATTGGTCAAATTACCAAGGTTTTGGTTTTTAAGTTTGTTCTTTACTTCTGTCAGAGTAACGTTGATAGGTTGGGTGATGCCGAAAACTCATTTGAGATTTTGATGCAACCCTCTTATCCAATTCGTTGCTCCAGCCCTTTAACTGTGCGCGTCATAGTTACTGTACGTGTTTGTTTGTATCGAGATGTAACTGTTGTAAATCAGTATAACATTCGACAAAAATTAATTTTTTTTCCATTTTCTATTGAGTTTCTGAGAGTGAGCGCTTTACAAACCTTTCACTGTGTCCATTCGTTCTTATGATTCACAGTATTCGCTGTGATGTACTGTGGAATAGGCGGAGTCGTTAATGCTTGTTTTTATCAGGTACTCCTTATGATAGCATTGACAACTCCGATTGGGCATTAGAAAACCGAGCAACTCCTTATCTATTCCAATTCCCACTCTAAGTTCCCCCTCTTTCTCATCACTTCTAGTGGTACTTTATTCTAACTTATTACAGACTCATCTATACAGTTAAGATTCTCCCTCCGATCTTTCGTGTAATCTCCAACCCCCCCCTAAATGCTATATGCTCTTTTGCTCAAGTTGATTTCATTGTGCACTACAAGGGAGTAATACTCTTAACGTGCGTTGAGAAAAACACATAGAATAGTCAAAATTTAGTTAAGTGCTCTCAAAAAGTTCCATTCCTTTCTCTTAGTTGTAGGTTTAGTTCTCGTCTCTCATCTTCATTCTCCATCGTCCACACTATGTTCAATTGATCTGAATTATAATCCATTAGTAAATCTGTTAGTGACATTTTCTAACCATTGACATGTTTTATCTCCGAATTTTAATTTTTGTATGATTTAGCTTTTGTTTTACTGTTAGGAAGCTATTTGAGCTTATGTTGGATAGTTTTGTTATTTGTTTGTTGTTTCATTATATCTTTGTTAGTATCCCTAATGGCTGTCGCCTGATGACTGTCGTTCACAAGTCTATGTAAAGAATTTCTGTATATAACTTGATTGTTTTCTTGTTATAGTATGTTTGAATCATAAAATGTTGTGTTAAGTTTGTATTTTTATTTTCTTTATACATTTGAAACCTTCTCTAAGCAATCGCACTCAGATTCTTGTTCGCATTCCTCATTCGACGTCTGGTTGGAAACCGTCGGAGCAAGTAGTTATTCGCGGCTGCAGACATTTGGGCTGAAATATTTTTGTTTTCATTTATAAAATAGAAGCTGTTATGAATAGAGCAACAGTTTGACAGGACATAGAGGGGGAGATGTGTATAGAATAGGTGCGTTCTAACGGCTAAATTACTGTGCCCGTAATGGGTATAAATATATAATATAAAGCCTAGCCACAATGTTAGTTTCAGCTAAAATCTTACCAACTAAGGCGTGCTTCTGAGTCTGTAAGTGAAATACTAGATAGATCGCAAAGAGTAGGCAGTTCGTTATTAGTTAGATAGTATGTTAGTAAAGAGGAAAACTGAACCTTGTTGTATCTGCTCGCTTTCAATAGCTTTCTGCTGGGCACTCGCAAACTTTTCGACTATCATTGATATTGGAAAAGCCAAAACTATAATTCCACATATGGATGTAGCCGTTGCGACAAGTTTTCCACCTGTAATAGGTCGTTTCAAAATTCGAAAAACATAGAAAATAAAGGGATGGGTATCTTACAAGTTGTGACTGGCTTAGCATCACCGTACCCCACTGTTGCCATTGTGACACTGCAAACAAATCATTTCATTATCGAATGCTGCTGTTTATGACTTACACACACCACCAACAACCCGCTGGTATACTGTAGAAATCTGTGTAGGGTTCGTCTTTTTCCAAATAATACATGATGGTTGAAAAAAATATTATACCGGTCACAAGGAACATACTGAGCATTGAAAGTTCTGTTATTGAGGATTTGAGCGTATGGCCGAAAGTCTGTAATCAAAAACCTCAGTTGTATTAGAGAAATTTATGATATATTCTCTCATCAACCGCTCTGCTCTTCAACAATAATGAGAAATGAAGAGTCTTAGTTTGACCTGTTCACGGTGTTCACGTAAAATTCCACGTTTGATTTTTCGCGTGGGTTTACGTGAAACCGCGAATCAATCATTGAACCATAAAAGATACCCACAAGTTTCGCACTCGCCCTTTAGACCTTATGTTATGGCTTCGTAGATTTGGAACAGATTGAGTGAATGAACAGTGTTGATTCTACATATTCCCATATGATATCACACAACTCTCTCATCTCAGAAATCATAATAACAAGTATTTCACCTGAAGACTTGTACTGTATCGGGCTAATTTGAAAACACGCGCCATCCGAAGCACTCGTAGTACCCGAACTACCAGCATAGCACCTAGAACAAATTCAATGTACGAATGCAAAATAAGATGAAAAGTATGAAATATCTGCGTTAAAGCTTATGAGAATGTTTGCTTTTCAATAACATTTCAGTAATCAGATCACATCTAGTGTGAATGTGAATGTCTCCAGAAAGTACACAAGCTTTCAAGCAAACCATTCGAAACTCAAAGCTATTTACATTTCTTGCTTTAACGTATTACATGGATCAACATAGATTACTAGAAGAAGTTTCGTAAGCCTAACATAACAGAATTAAAGTAAAAACATGCTGGTGATACGTGAAAGACAACTACAAGAAGTAGGCATGCATTTAGGGAGTCTTGATAGAGCTTTCACTTGTATGAACTCAGAACTTTAGATCCTTGAAGCGACCAGTACTAAGTCGTGGTTTTCGTTGAAAATTCTCGGAAATGAACAAAAAACTTTTTCTTTTTTTTCTCAAAAAGAACTTTCTGTTCATTATTTCTGTAAGAAGTTCACACAAACAATCTGGACATTCCACAGGAAACAGAGGGTTGATGCGAAATGCTTGAAAGCGATTCTTGCAGGGTGGGATAACTGATGATAAGCTTGATCTTTAGTATAGGATAAAGGTGGTTATAGGTTGTAGATTAAGCTGATATAGACTATCAATCAATAATCAATCGATTAAAACACAAAAATTATGAATTTAGATATTTACCCATCCAAGTTTGTGCTTTACGCCCTATGTCTTCTCCTGAAATATGAGCTTGCCGGGGAAAAAAGAATCAAAATATCTTCGAATTCTAATGATCATTCTTTTTGCAACAAAAAACTCAAAGAAAGAAAACTTCTAAAATAAAAATAAAAGAAGGAAAAATGATTAAAATGATAACGTTCGTTACTAACAGAAGCGAAAATATCACTACAAGGCTCATTGCTCTATGCTTATATGAATTGGAAATACCTGTAAGCTCTTTGAATCGAGATTCGATGCCAAATATTGGCAAACATAGCTCGAGATAGAATGGTAATATAGTAAGCATATCAATAATATTTAAAGTTTTCTTGGCGAATTCCATCTTTCGAGGATATATTGTGAATCTGAAAATGATTATCATCTTATGCTTCTACCATCTGTTTCTCTTTGTCATCCATTTGTATCCACCACACTCACCTTATTAGATATTCGAATGTAAACCAGGTAATACAAATGTACTCGATGACAACTAATGTAAAAGAGGGATTGTCCGTCGGACGATATACAAACGTGGATGGGTTCTGGCTGTTCACATCGGCATTTTGGAACTTGGTCTGGAAACAGTACTTTACTTTGTGTCAATTCAACCCGTTTGTGATGCTATTATTGAGGTCTCAGCGCTTCTTGAAACTCTGGCGGTCTGACGAGCGAATGGAACTTACTTCAGTGCCCTTCTTTGCGTGCATCATGTGATAGAATGCCGCATTTGAAGAATCTTCTTGAAATTCTGGCATTGATCCAAGTATTAGACCTGCAAATTGTCCCGATTCAATATATTTCTTGACAAAGTAATCACCGATCACACTAGTGAATACAAAGAAGACGGAAAGTAATGCGAAAACGGCTGCCGGATAGGAAGACTGAGGGTCTTCAAGGAAACGCCATGTGGCCAATCGGAACGAGGACAAAAACTTCTGCAAATTTCATCGTGGAAGGTTTTAAATATAGAATTTCTTCTTACAACTCCATCAAAATCAGTTGCATAATCATCTTCGGGAGTAGTATGTTGTTGATGTTTCTGTTTAGTGGAGGTGGTGCCATCGGAAGGCAGAGCACAACAGGCGGAAAGCTGAAAAAACAAAAACTGTTCGGTGAAAACAAAAACAAGAAAAATTTGTAAGATGACTCGAATTAATGCAAAACGAACATATTCGCTTCCAATTCTCCAGAACGCCAGCTCTTCTTTGAAACGCTCGACACACACATTGTGAGGCTTGTGCAGACTGCCTTAAAATTAAATAGTTTAGAAATGGTTGAGTGTAAGTGAACGCACCTGTAGCAAAAAAATCCATGATATGTTCTGCTAGTCGCGTATTCCGTTCCATATAATACTCTTCACTCTTCTCGTCATATCCATCCACGATAGCTAATCTGAAACATGACTGAAGCATTGAACAATTGAGATCATGATTGCAAACCGTTTTTCATGATTAGCCTCAACGATATCATGCATGAGTGTTCTATCGTGAGTATGTAATTCAGTTCTTACGCAATAGGTCTTTCCTCCAATATTTATTCGAATGTACATGTCGTTTAGTCCTCCATTTCCTTCTGCAATTTTCATGATTTGAAACTTAAAAATAAGGAAAAGAAAGAAACAACCTTGATCCTCTGTGTACTTCATCAGAGTTGCAGCTCGAAACTGAACTCTCCGATTTAACATGCTTTCTTCATTTTCCTTGTTCGCTCTCTGAAACATTTCAAATAGAAAGAAGAAGGACGAAGGCGTTTCATGTCTGCAATGCAGTACTCTGCTGATCATTCAAATGTTTTATGAAGAAGCTTCATTTCTAATAACTTCTTAATAATCTGCTTGTGTTTAATAAAAATCAAATGAGAAATCAATTAGATGGCTTCTGAAATCATGAGCAGAAGTCGATAATTGACGTGGAGTTACGTGAATCCACTCTTATTTTCTCATTTTTTGAATAAATCACATGAGAAGCGGTTGTATGCTAAAGAAGAGAAAACAAGTGGTTCACATCGAACGAGAGGAATCGGTTGGTGGGATTAGCGAATGGTTGGTTAACTTCAAAAATTATTTTGTCATTCATACCTCAGCTGCTCTTCTGAATGATAAGCGTAATGCCATAACTCTTCAAATTCTTTTTTTTAAAATATTTTTTTCACAAATAGAAAGAAGAGATTTGAATAGAAAATCAGTCGGGCGACAGATAGGTTTGAAGGCAAAGGAATGACGATGATTCTCTCTATTGACGTTGTTGTAAAAGCAGATGAGGTTTAAGCTATGAAAATCTGAATAGGGCTGATGTAGCTTTATAAGAGAATCAGATTGCTCTCGTAACGTCAAATTTAGTTACTTTTGATTATTGGCGTGTCGTGTGAAGTGAGAGAATAGCTGGAAGGGATTGAGGAGGATGATGAACTGCCGCTGATGCTTCATTCGACACAGAGATATGAATGAAGTAGAACAAAGTGAGTAAAGAACAAAATATAAAAGAGGGACATTTTGAGAAAATAGCCCGAGGCAGATTTGAGTAGGCAAAAAGAAGAGAGAAGAGGAAAGAGCGAAGCAGAAAGGAGAAACAGAGCATGTTCGAGAGCACAGAAGTAGATGATTTCATAAATCATTAAGAAATCATCTCACAACATATTTAGGGCAGAAGGATAGAGAGGAAGAGTGGAGGGAAGGAAGGGGATAATTGTGGTAGTGGGTTCTCAAACGAGAAAAAAGGTTTTGAGGCAACAAACATAGAAAGAGATAGAGAGAGAGAGAGTGAGAGAGAGATGCTTATGCCTACAATAAGAAGAGGATGAATGACCTTCTGTTAGAAATACTCAAAGATATTCAGAAGTACAAGAAGGGCATACAGAGCCTGAGGTTGCAGAAAAAAAGAAAAGAAGTCTGGATATAGATATGTATCTGTACAGAAAGAAGAAGAGTGATCATGAGAACGTAGAGCACGATGGCTTAGAGTATAAACAGAAGGATTTCCGAAAAAAAGTGAAGTCTTCAGGATTTTACATGCAAAGTTGAAAAACAAGTCACCGAAATATCTCTTGAATATGGACAAGCAGTTCTTTCCTCAACAAAGAATAAAAAAAGATCTGACGCCATTAAATTTATGAAAAAAAAAGAAACGGGAATGAAAAGCTGTGAAAGCTGAAAGACATGTTAACACAGAATTGAATTCTGAAGGCTCATCCACGTCCTTTCTGTTCACTTTCTATCAGTAACAACAGGAAGTTCAAAGATTTCAGCCGTGCATAATCATTGTCGTCATTTTTCAATAAAAGACGATTTGAAAGATTGAATTTAATAAAAATATTTCATTCATTCAGAAACAAAATGTTATTGTAAAACTTCTTTCCATCTGTTACATATAAATACTCGAGGAGAGTGTTCATGAGCAAATCAGTCAATTGCTGATGGATTTCCATACATGCGGAACGCATGAATTGGAGAAAAAATTTTTTTTTCATCTCTAATCTCATCTGCTGAGAAGATCAAGATGCTTTCCCGGAACTTACGGAGATAAGAAAGATAAAGCTGAATGGTAAAATACTGAATGGCAGTTAATTGCTCGAAAATATATGTCGCGAGCAGAGATAAAAAGGAAAAAAAAAGAGAAGCAAAAGGTGAAGCCAGGCAATCGTCCTTACATGGGAGGAAACGGAAGAGATGGAACGAAAAATAATTTGAATTGTTGAAGAATCAACTACTAGACATAATTCCTAATCTTTATCGCTCAAATGTCAGAGATAAATCCTTTTATGAGCGATGTGCATATGTATATCGGATGGAAGATCAAAAATAATATAAAGAAGATGTATGACTTACCTGCGAAGCACATGTCCGTTTCAAGCGATATGAAAGCATCTTCAGCTATCTCTTCTCTTCTTCTATTCTTTTTTTATATTTTAAAACAAAAAAAAAGGAAGAAGAAGAATAAGAATGGACGAATGAATTATCTGGTTGTCAGGGAAACATCCATTTTCATCTTGTTTGATAAAACGAATAATTCTAAGATTTGAACAAGGTGAACGCACAATATTTCGAACAAAATCTGTTAAACGATAAAGTTTAATTGAAATTATTAGAAGATTTCCGAAAAGGAAAGTTAAAGTAATGAGGAAGGAAGAGATAAAGAGAGATTTAGAGAGAGATCAAGAGAGAGAGAGGTAGTTAGAGATACTGATAGAATGCATGAGCATGGAACACGCGAAGAGCACACCTTCCACTGTCAGCAATGGATGATTATCAAAAAACAAAGCAAAGGATGAAGACATTCAATCCGAATGTTTTATTTTATTTTTTTATTTAATTCGAACAAACAATATACACAAGCTCTATATGGGGATTACAGATTTCGTCTGATTAAAACAGCTGAAATGAATATAAAGAAGAAGGAGAAAATGAAATAAAAAAAAGCTGAATAAAAAAGACATTTTTTAGTTTTAAGCTCTCATTTTTACATATTTGATTATTATAAACACAGCCACACACACACACACATACATAACATAACTATATGTATAGTTAGATATATATGTATGTTATATATCGTTTATTGATAGAGAATAGATTTGTTTGAATATGCTAATTTCGATATGCGAATTTTCAGTTTACGTGATATTTACGTGAAAATGAGTTATTATCGATTGGTTAGTCGCTAACGAACGGTTGCTTACTTTTTGATTCGAAAAAAATATGAGAAAAATGATTTTTGCTTTTCATTCAACTTTCCATTCTCTTCCAATTCTTTTTTGATTCAGATATTTGCATGAAGATTCACATAATTAATCAAATGATCAAGAATAGAGACATCTTAATGCTTTTCTAAGCCAATTTCTAATGAAAACAAATCTTTTGGCTGACATATGAAGTAACATCATAGGATATAGATAATCAAAGATTATAACACATAGTTACACACACACACACACACACACACACACACACACATACACACTTACATATATAGATATATAGACATTATTATTATTATAATTTAATAAACATTTGAAGCTATCGTTCATTCAGCACATGCAACTTGCCCATTACATATACACATATACAGAGCTATATACACTCTCACACACATTGATAGTACGAACCATACAAAAACATGGAAAAAAAATTATTATTTTTGATGAAAATTTGACAAACGTTTGTAATAGAGAGAGAGAGAGAGAGAGAGGGGGAGAGGAAGAGAGATGAAAGATTCGCCGGATGTGAGATGATGCTGTTCATGACCTTCTTTAGTATTTATGGAAGTTATTGAATGAACCTCAAGAACTCCACCAGTCTTTTTTCATCGGTTTTTTTTGGTTCCTTTTTTTCAAATCTACTAAGAAGATTATGAACTGCTGCAAAAGATGAAGAAGAAAAAGCATGTTAAGACATAGAGAGAGAGAGAGATAAGATGAAGAAAAATGAATTCTTTTTCATTAATTTCACTTAAGAGAGGATTTGGTAAGATTGAGACAATTGTTTATCGCTGTAACAGAAAAAGAGCTAAATTTGGCTTCGTTTCCTTTTCTTTTCCGCTTATTCAATCATATTTCTCCTCCTCCTTTTTTCATTTTACATTTTTTGTTCAACACACCTCCTGAAAGCCACGTGGGACAATTGATTGACAAGCTTCATCTCACGTGCCACGTGGATTTCAGTTACTCACACACAATTATACATATAACATAAACGATGAGATGAAGAACGGTTGAATATCACAATCAGAAGCAAAAGTGAAGAAATGAATGAAAGGAAGAGCTATACATATTGCTCTTTCTACATTTGAATCTTTTTCAATCTGAATCACTACTCTCTCTCTCTCTCTCTTTCTCTTCATCTCTCTAACTACCTCCTACTCTTCTACTCTGATACTTTGGAATGAATGAAGAATTCATTTAACATATAATATGGAGAAGGTTACGATGAGAAAAAGATAAAGGAACTTCTAAAATCTCAGATTAGCTTATAACATTTCACAAAAAGAAATATTCAACTGAGACGGAGAAAACGGAGAAAAAAGAAATTTGGCGACTAATCCATGAAATTCTCATTTAATAGAACTTTCAATAAAGTTTTCAGATTGATAACGAACAACAATCGTTTATATGAGATTGTTGAGTTCAAATATGAAAGTTCATTCATGAAATCCAGATGAATAAAACAATTTCTCATAGATATCTATTTGGATAAAACGGTTTTGATTAGAATGGTTGAGGACTTAATGTATGAAGCAATAGTATCTCAGTTGGGTGAGAAGAGTCTGAAAGAAGTCTTTGGAGCCAATATCGTTTTGGGTTTTCGTCTGATACTCCCACGTTCTCATACTATTTCCTTATATTCAGTGTTTTCTATCCATATTTGTATCCCAATTTTCCGTATTCTTTCAAACTTAAAAGATTGAAGGATTCAAATTTCAGGACTATTCAGAACGTTTTCTTGAACATTTCAAACAAAAAGTTGAAGGTGGCGTGAAAAGAAGGGATTTGAGAAGCTATCGGATAACCGAAAAGTAAAAGAGAGAGAACGAATGATGAAAACAATGATTCCAAAGAAGAAGCTTTTCATCACCAGTTATACAGACTAACTGACTGACAGACTGGCTGATAGCACAATGTAAGAAAGTTGAAATGTAAATGAAATAATAAGAAGAAGGCTAACTATTCACATAAATAGTATTATTATGAATATTGTGAGAAATTCCATAATTCTAAGATGATTGAACTCTCATATTCTCAAGCCTCGAGAAGTATATATACTTGGTTGAATATAAAATCCAAAAAAGAACAATGCCATACTTACCAGTGAGTGAGCTGATCGTTTATTGCTTCTCCTCGTGTGCATATCTGATTATATGTACTTCCTTTTTCTTTTTATCTTCTTCTACTGAAAATAAATAAGTTTTTTTTTAATATTCTAACTATTACAAAAGACAAGAATTGTTTGAAGTAAGCAATGAAGAGATAGACATCCTTATGCTACTACACGTGCGTATGCTCATAGCTCCACGCATATCACATACACCGGAACTGTCTTTCATGTCTGTAGACTGTTCTCAACCATTATTTGGCTTAGTTTAATGTACATAATCAATTAATTTTTATTGTCATTATTGAGCGGAAATAAAGTAATTTTCTCTCAGATTATTATTGAATTTAACCGCTGAGAGAAGGTCTGAATGGCACGAATGTGTGAAAAATCAGTTTGTTTTGTCAGACTTTTAAATCAAAATAACAAACAATTCGTTTGGAGAGACCGTAGATTGTACCTCAGAAGGAGCGAAAAAAAATGAAAAAATTTCATAAAAAAGTTTTTTTTCTTTTTTTTGTTGAAAACATTGCGGAAAAGGTTAGAAGCAACAGCAGGAAGTTGTCTTTTATCATATTTTCATGCAAATATGAAGAGAAAAAGTATCAAAATATAGCAAAATGTGCGCAAATTTTGTCTTTTAAAACCATTAAAAAGCTTGAAAACATCATTTGCAAGCAGCACTCGTTTAATGGAATGCGAATGTCTGAGACTTGTTAAGGTAAAGAAGTTGGAAGAAAGAAGTAACCAAGAGAAGGAGAGGAGATAAGAGAGAGTGAGAGGTAGAGTTATGATGAACAAAAGGAGATATGTATATGGAGGGAAGGAGGGAAAGAGAGAGAGAGAGAGACATTGGATAGAGCTTCACTGCACTGGCAGCTAGATGTGACTTCTTCACGAAACATCTGAATCTCTAATTGCTCAGAGAAAAAAAAAACAGAAAATGTTTGAAAAATTACTTTTTCAAAGTGAAATTATTTATTTATTGAAATTAATAAAGTGAAAGTAACTTTGGAGTAAAATCTTAAATGATGACGTCAATGGGAATGATGAAACAAAGGAAATCATAAAGGATTCTCTTCACCATTCGGAAGATTCTCAAACTATTCGAGAGATCTCATGAAATTTAAATTTTTCATTTTTTTTTAAACTGAAAATTCATATTGCCATGAATGGAATGTTTAGAAACAGTTTTGTTGTTGTTAAAAATCTTCATTTTGCATCATTTAGAATATGTTTATGTACAAACAAGGTAACAGTAATATAGAGATCATGATACCAGAGGATGAGGGAAAGGAAGAAGAGGTTTGTAGAGAGAGAGAGAGAGAATGGGGGGAGAGATAGAGATTCCTCAGATTCATAATGAAAGATGTTGATAGAGTTATTTCTTGAGTATAGAACCTTATAAGCACATGGTCCAGAATACGATAACTAGAACTCTGAATGATTGACAGTTATACAGACAGCGAAGAGCGAGAGGGAGAGAGAGGAAGAGAGGGATAGGAAACATATTACCCATATTTCTAATAATTTTAATGCTCACTGTCCACTTCCACTATTTCAGTATCGAGGTTTGTTCAAGATGATAGGATGAATGGAGAAAAGAGGTTTTTTAACGGAAACTTATGGAATCGAATAGTAATCACACTCGTTATTACTACGAGCTGGAGCATTGATGATGGCCGTTAAGGGTGTAAGAAGAAAACAGAAAGAAGGTGAAAGAAGCAGACGATCGAAATTGGATGAGGACCAAAGAAATAGAGGAGCGAAAAGTGGCGTTTCGAGAGAGGAATAGCCCCGTCATACACAAGAATCAGAATGAAGACAACATCAAAATAGATAAGTGAGATTGATTGGAATGGTGAGACGTGAGGAGAAAGGGAAGATACTCAGAAGGGCACACGCAATATATAAAAAAATGAGAGAGAAAGTAGTTATTTCCGTTAAATATTAAAACTAATTAAGCATCAAGAATAAAAACAAAAGCTGAACAGCGATGATGATGACAGGAAGAAAAGGAATTTTCGAGTACATCTGCTCTTTTACATATAAGATTATTTGATCCTTATGTTCTTGTTATTTTGCATTATTAGAAAAGATATCGCTTCGTTTGTTTTCTGCGTGAACCATTTCGTTCTTCTTCCTCATTCCAACAACTAGTTGATTCAGCAAACTTATCGATGATCATCGAAATTGGGAAAGCCAAGACAATGATACCGCATACCGATGCCATAGCAGCGACGACTTTTCCTCCTGTAACAAAATATATTTTCTGACTGTCGTACTAAGACTTATCATACCTGCTGTTACAGGTACAAGATCTCCGTACCCTACTGTCGTCATTGTGATTACGCCTGAAATTATTATAAATTGCAAATTTAAATTTAAATTTTTTTTCAGAGTGTTTCTAATAAGATATTGTTTGCTGGCTATCAAAGAATTTTGAAACGTACACCACCAACAGGCTGCCGGAATAGAGTAGAATTTGGAATTTGGCTCATCGCGTTCGAAGAAATAGATTGCAGTTGAGAACAGCATGATTCCTTGAAGAGATCGGTTCAGAGCTTATTCATATCATTGTATGTTTACCTGTTACTAAAAACATTCCTAACATACTCAACTCAGCAGCCGATTTTTTCATAGTTTGTCCAAAAGCTCGAAGCCCAGTACTATATCTGGCTAATTTGAAGATTCGAGCAACACGAGCTAATCGCATTACTCTCACAACAAGCATTGCACCTTAATTTCCATTATAATAATTTCGATAATTTTGAATAAATATTAATTAGAGTGAACGAAAAGTACATGTTTCTCTAATTGGGCAGAAGGCTTTGAAAACGCAAACAGCTTACCTCGGAAGTTACGAATCCATTGTAGTTCGTTGAAAGCTTCAATCAAAAATGGTAAAATAGTTAAAACATCAATAACATTGAGTGGAGATCTCAAGAACTCAGCCTAAACAGGATTGAGATGAGCATGAAATGCAATGTGCAGCTTTCGTACCTTACGTGGACTGACGAGAAAACGAATTATATATTCAAACGTAAAGTAAATCATACACCTAAAATTATAAAATAGATTGAGTACGTAGGAGGGGATGGATTACAATATTTCAAGCCAGGTTAGAAGGAAATGTGGTTCTCGATGCTCATCTTGCAATTCAGGCATTGAGCTTAGAATTAATCCTGCAAAATTAATTGTTTAGTTTATATGTTATGTTTCTTTTCGTTACCCAATAGCGATAGAAGTACAAAGAAGGCTGAAACGATTGAAAAAAGTTTTGCCGTTGATGAGCTGCGAGGATTTTCGAGTATACGCCATAGCTTTAAACGCTGAGGTCCCAATAAGACTTTATCGAAATAGGACGAAGGATACGAATCAACGAACGCCTGGAACAAAAATAAAATTAGTTTTTTTCCTGATCAAATATCGGGCACAGCAACAGAAAGAGCAACCGCTTTCACCGTTTTTTTCACATGAGAAATGAATTGTAGATTAGGTGATGGCATGCAAAGTGTCATTACGTGAAATTAGCATAAAGCTTAAAAATCACGTGAAATGATGTTATTCACGAAAAAGCTCTCAACCCCCCTTCTATTCTAACTTGTTGTTTTTAGAATGGAAATCTTCTTTTTTGTACTAAAAGTCATTTATGACTGCCAAAATAATTCAGGAATGGACTAGAATGCCCTGAGGATGATTAGAAGAAGATGCTAAGGGAGAATAGCTTGAATAACTAAGAACAAGTACTCGTTTTTGAAATGAAAAGTGGAAAAAGAAGAAGAAGAAGAAGAAGAAAAAAGAAGAATCTGAAGAGAAGAGAACAACGTCTTCAAAGCGTTTAAAAGAAAAAAGCTTGTACGAACTTTTTCATTTTTTAATTTGGAAGCCATATTATTATTCTCTTCTAACATACAACACGGAGCCATAGCCTGTACAGGTATTCGCCAATAATCCAACTCATATCGTAATCGTATTGGGCATACGTCCATTGGACGATGAAGTTTTCCTTAAAAATAGAAAAATTTATAATTATCGTAAACAAAAGAGAGAGAGAAAAAGAAAATTAGTGATTACCTGTGATGTAGTAATCAACAACATACTCAAATATGATTGGGCTACGTTCAAAATAATATTCGTTATTTGATTCGAAGTATGCATCGCAGTCTGTTAATCTCTCCACATGATTCTTCTGACAGAAGACTGATAGACGAGATGTCTCCAATCGTCGATTAACCTAACGCATACTGTATGATTGGATATGATGAGGATGAAGCTTACAATTTCAGTTGGCAGTTTCGCCTGTCGACCTCCGACATTTATATTAATAAGTGTTTTCTTGATTAATCCATTAGAAGCTGATTGTCGAGTCGTAGTGCTATTTCCATCCGTAACTACATAATCCGGTGACAATAGAAGCTGTGTCTGACAAGTTGTATCACACATTCTGTAAAATATTCTTGAAGGCTCGATGAATACGCTCAGAACACGAGTAAATCAAGAAGAAATGAAATTTTCTTTGTCTTGTATGGACGATGAGCTAAAAGCACATATCATGTTTTCAAGAAACATACATGTTGGCAAGTGGTTAGAGATAAAAAAATATTTTGAAGGTTAAGAGATGCTTCTCAATCGGGTTTCGCCTCATTTGAACTTTTCATCTCTGCAGCGGCGGAGGACATAAAATCAAAAGTAGTAATAGGATTGAAGTCATCTGACAAAAGGAACACTGGTCAACTCTCGGCTACTTCAGCTTTTTCAACAAGTTTTTCATTTCAGACAGCAGCACTGAGGACACCAAAACTGAGAAGGAAAGATGAAGAGAGTGCGAGAGAGAATTGAATGCATATCAAGTACTTGATTGGAAAATTAGATAAATAAAAAACAAAATCATATATACGGGATGTTAATTAATAAAGATACATGAAGTACATAAGAAAACTGAACATAATAGTTCGTTTCCACAAAATTTTTTTATATTTCCTTCTATTTCCGCTCTCGTTCTCTGACGTCTTCAATTCATCGTCGTAATTTCGGGTCATGAGCTTTGATGTGTCCGTGGAGCGTGAAAATTGATGTGATGAGGATGGTCATGCTTTTTCCATTTTCAACGTTACATAAAAGTGAACGGTCGTGTTTTTGTTTCCCTTCACACCAATTTTGCTTCATTTTCTTTTAGTTTTTGATTTGTTGTTTGGAATTTTGAAAATGCTTACAAAATAGATTTGTTTGATTCTCGAAATGAAAACTGCCTCAAAGAGAGGAAAAGAGAGAAAAAAGAAAGAGAGAGAGAGAGAAATAAGAAGAAGAAGAAGAGGTGATAGAGTAAAGACCGATCATGAGAAGAATGAATGGAATGAACCGGAACAGGAAAATGCTGTAATGAGATAATTGGTAATATAGTAATTTTGAGATTTGTGGTGATTACCGATTATTTAAAATACAATTTTGTGAGGAAAATTCAGAATAGAATTTTCATTTTGTATGGTCGAATTGAGTTTCAGTTTGACTGCGAGTCTATCAAAACATAATTATCTGAAGCCGTTCGATACCCTTATCGCTTTCGATATTAATCAAAATTAATTCAACGAAAGGTTAAGGGAGTATGTGAAGAAATGGAATTTGTTAATGATGATGGGAACAATCTCATGAGACACAGTGCATAAGTCTCAGCCAGCAGGAACAAGAAAACGTGAAAATAAAACAGTCGAAACTGCTTTTTGAGTCACTCGAAAGATCACCCGCTTATTCAACTCTCACCCACTAGTTTCAGCAAAGCTCTTCTCTCTCGCTACCTTCTTGCAAACTTTAAAAAAAAAGACATCAATATGTAATGATATATCTACTTATTTATCTCATCTGAAACTGTTATGGAAAGTTCTCTCTCCTTTCATTTCCTTCTACATCCCTCTTTCTCTCTCTCTCTCTACTTTCTATCTCTGCTCTTGGCTTTTCTGCTGTCCAAGAGCTCATTCTCAGTATGCACGAGTTCCAATTCGGATCAAGCGTGTCTCATTCTACACTTCATATGAGATAATCCTTTTTTGGGTTCTTCCTCATGAGTATGCCATTTCTATCTCATAAATTATGAGAAATTATCGGAAACACTCATGTTTTGATCGCTTTCTTAGTAAGAAACAAGAAAAATTTCTATTTTTTCAATTCTCTCATAAGCTTCATACATTCGAATTCTCTCACGCTATGCTATGAACTTTCAAAAGCACATATTCAGTCGGAACATTATTCAAAAATGAATTGTTTGTGATTGTTAGAAGAATCATTGTTTTTTGTTCCTCATAAACAGAGTTCATAACATCTCATAACGTCCGTGTCGATGACATCATGCAGGGCTTCTCATGGAGCTTATACACGACATGGTTGCAGGTAAATCTTTTTTTTTCCAATAAAAAAATAAACATCAAAGTTCATAAAAAACGTTTGAAAATTCTGCATTTTGCTTTGTGTGTGTTCATTGAAAGAAAATGGAAGGAAAATGAGAAAAGATTACTTTCATCCATATGACACGAAGAAAACAGGAAGAATTGGAAGACAAACGGATATGATGCTCAATTGAGCCAAAAAACTAAAAGAAAAAGGTTTTCTCTTTCTCATTTATTAAAATAAGAATGAAAGTAAAATGAGCGAATGGAGTCTCTAACAAGACATGTACTGATAATAGCTAGCCGATGAAGAAGATTTCGAGTTTTGAACACAAAAATTTTCTTTTAAAATTTCTAATGAAATTACGCATGCAGACATGTTTTTCACATATTTTCCAATAAAAGAAATTATTTCAAAATAAATATATTTCAATTTATTTACAAAAAAAGAAAGAATGAGAGAGAGAGAGAGATGGTGAGAGAGACTGTGTGTGTGTGGCTCAATGTATATCTGTGTGTATATGAGGATTCCAAGAAGAAACTTATCAACAAGAAAACGAAGAAGGACGACTTCAAATTTACAACACTTTCAGTTTTCAAATGTTCCTTTCTGTGTTCACTCCATCCTTCCTCTCCTCCTCTTTCCTCCCCCCCCCCCTTTCCCTCCTTTTCTCATAATCATCATCTTTTTCTTGTTTGTCTGTTAGTCCAAGTAAGGACATAGACGTTTCATAAAGGTGAAGAAGTAGAGGAAAGGATTTGAATAAGAATATGTCAGACGCCATGGAGATCACGAGCCACGTTCATCTTGGACGACTCTTTCTCTCATTCACCCCCTCAAAGTCATTTGTGATTTTGTAATTAAGTTTTGTGAAAATGAAATGAATTTCATATATAAAAAACGGCTACTCTAAAATGAACGGAATATTGGAGGACAAGGGTAGAGAGTAAATGGATGAAAGTGAATGTGCTTCTTATATTTATAAAGGCAAAGACAAAAATATGACATTTGAAGTTGTAGAGAAAGGGAAAAACAGTAAAGAGAGAGGATTACTTGCATTTCCCTCCCTCTCTCCATAGCCTTTCACACTTTGCTTTTTCTATTTTTCCTCTCTCCCAATCTCTCTCTCTCTCTCTCTGTATATCGAGTTGATACATTGAATTGTTGCAGTAAGTGATAGAGGTGTACAAGTTGTCAAGCAAGAAGAACAAAGAGATTGAAGGTTGATCATGTCAGATAAAAGATATGAAAACAGCTAATTTGATTATCAAAGATTTGAAGTAAAAACAAATGCAGACTAATGCTGTTTGAACTCTCTTCTAAGTTGTATCTACTCCGTAAACAAGGTGTGAAGAGGGATATGACGGTGATAAAGTGCATACATGGTCATAAGAAGAGATAATATCTTAAAACATTTAGTTAACAACATAATATAATAATAATAATAATTAGAAAAAATAGAAAAACCATAGAAACTGATAGAGAGGAATGTGTTGAAGCATGCTTCAGTCTAATGCTCGTTTTCATCAAACAGAATGTCAGATTTGACGATGAAGCCTCGTGGCATAATATATGAAGAGAATCATGGAAATTAAGAGTTTTTTTTCTTAATCCACAGACAAATTCGATAAAGATGAAGAAAAAGAGAGAGAGAGAGAGAGAGAGCATGAGAGAGAGAGAGAAGAGAAATGAAACGATATACGAGTAGTATAGTTATTCATTCTTCATCTTCAGCCAACCGTTCTCTTCGACAGCAAAATGATAAAATGAATGCGTTGACGTGGTGCTCGTACTTTTCACGGCGATTCACGTTAGTGCAGAGATCTATATTCTAATTTTTCTTTTTTTTTCTGTATGCTCTATTTCGAATTCAATAAATGATGGAGAATTCGATAAATGCCTGTCCTCATGTAAGATCAGAAACATGTATTGTCGCATTCTATAGAAAAGCCTTTTTCATTGAAATTTCAATGAAGTAAAAGCCTGGAGAGAGAATTTTTTTACTTCATAACCAGAAAAAAAGAATAAAATGAAAAATAAATATGTAAGAATGGAGTTCAGATGAGATTGTCTCAGAACTGAAAATCTTCAAAGTTCTTTTTACTGAGCTGTACTTGAGGTTCAGTCGAATCAGTTGATGTTTGAATGAATTGTAACGGAAGGGGCCAAAGGAATGACGAAGAAGAGTTTTTGTGAAAGAAAGTAACTTAAAGATTAATGCCAAAAATAGAAGAAAAATCTTATTACGCTAAAGCTGTGGGAATACCTTTAGCGGCCATTGTTCGTTAAGCTCAGATATTAATGAGAAATTAATCGGACTGCTCTCTTTAAGAATTCTGTTCGATCTTCTTCATCATCAAAAAAACATTTTTTTTTTGCTTTTTCCTCTCTTTCGCTCTCACTCTTGTGGTGAAGTAAAGAAGGAAGAGGAAGGAAGTAGAAAATAGAAAACATATAATTGAAAATTAAAAATTACATGTTATAAATGAGATGAATGACACAATACAAGATGATTTACTTAAAGTGTCCATAGGGAATGAGTGAAAGCCAAGAGTGATTATGGGATTGTAAATGAAGTATGTAGAGTTCAATGGAAACAAACCCAAGTTGATAGAGAATGATATGATTTCTTGCATCATTTCAGAAGAAAAAAAAATAGTAGTAGATTTGAATGGAATTGTGTGAAAGATAGCGGAGGAATTGATGCGATAGCTGCAGAGAGGGAGAGAGAGAGAAAGTTGAAGAAGTTGAGAGTAATATGGAGAACGTGGAGAGAAATCAATGTTGTGATAAGCTTGAGATGTGAAAATATGTGCAAGCGGCTTTTCGTAATGAATGGCTCAACTTCATGACATTTTTGGAATCTTCAGCATCATTACTAATGATAAGCGCTGGGATATAGAATACGGAAGGTACTATGGCGGCGATATGAAAGCGTTCTGAATGCAGAAAAAGCAGATTTCGTTGAGCTCAGACGACGAGCGTAGAAATGCAAAGATAAATGGACGGAGGGAAACGAAAAAGATAATTCACAGTTAACAATTTGTGTGAGAAGAAAGTTACAA